GACATATGACATGACATGACGTGACGCGCCATAACTTCCTTGATCGAAAAGTCTGGATCCTGTGCAGTGTGTTTGGAGATGAAAGACACATTGGTGCCGAAAGGGGGTTAGATGTTTGGAATGGGCGACTTGTAGTGGACTTGCACGAGTGGTGTGAACTCATGTCACAGATGCGGAGTGGGGGGAGGCGTGTGTGGTCGCGTTTGCCGCGTGTGTGCGGTTTGTGTTGTTTATGTCGGTTCTCAAGACGGGCACGGACAAGCAAACGAAGGAAGCAAAACGGCAGACTCATGAAGCACACTTAAGATCGGTGAAACGAAAAAGAAGGCAGTCATCATCCACTCACTCATACACATAAGCAACCAAGCCACCAAGCAAGCCACCACGCAAGCCACCAAGCAAGCAATCAGCCATCAATTACCACTTGAGCAAGCAATATATCGCACCATCACCAAATCATGAGCACATTGTGCCACCATGCCAGCTTCGTCACGCCGTCCACCGCGGCTGCCGCCCCCATCAGGAGAAGAGGCCACTGCACCACTGGCGCCCAAAGGTGAAGCAGATGCACACGCCGAGGATCAGGCCTGCAAGAGACGGGTCCACGCCACTTCCCTGGACAGCCAGGTCGCTTGCCTTGACAAACCCGTCAAGCACGCGCTGGGCTTTCGCGCGACGCCGACGCCGCTCTGCCTGCGCGCATGCAACAGAGGAGAACAGGTGCCGCAGCGTATTGGAGTGAGGGAGTGAGTGGTTGAGTGTGGGCGTGATGTTACATGCGCGATTGGCGCTCTGAGTAAAGGGGTATAGCTGCGAGGTACACGTACAACGGCAGCACACAACACACAAGCACGCAACACACAAGCACACAATACACAAGCACGCGAGCAACCAACACGCGCACGTACGCACACACACACACACACAAGCATGCACACACACACACACATACATAGCATTGTGCTCAACATTCATACACAAACACGCAACACATGAGTTCTCACACTCATGCTCACCTCCTCCACTTCCTCGGCGATGGGCTGGCCGTTGCAGTTGTAGCAGACGGGTCCGTTCAACTCGGCCTCCTCGTCACTGCAAGCAAGAGAAACACAGTGCCCCACACCATCACACAGCACACCCATGAGCGTTCATCTACGCAAGTCGTTACATCGGCAACTGCACACACATGTGCACGTCAATCACGCGCACACACACACTACAAACGCACGCGCACACACACACTACAAACGCAATCACGCACACACACACACACACGCACACACTACAAACGCAATGACACACACGCACACGCACAATATTGAACTATAGAATCACACAATCACACAGCCGAGTGCATGTTCACTTACGATGAGATGGTGCTGCTTGCAACACCATCACCGCCATTGCCACCAACGCCGTCGCCGTCGTCATCACCACTCGCCCACGCCTGCAAGAGCACAGGGCTGCCATTCTCGTCGCTGCTTTTGTCAGCATCATATCTGCCAACGCCGCCACCTTGGTCGAGCGACCACTGAGGCAGGTCGCCCCACTCCACCATGCCCTCCTGTGAGCGCGTGCTGTTGTTGCGGCGACGCTGAAACTGCTGCTGCTGCTGTGCTGTAACCTCCGTCACTGATGGCGGTGGTGCAGCCATGTAGTCTGTGGGCAGCGCAAACCAGCGCAGCTTCTGCATGCTTCACCAGCGCAGCTTCTGCATGCTTCTGCTCAGCACGACCTTCTGCGGGGGATTGGCGCGGCGGTCCCGTGCGCGGGCCTCCTCAATGGCCGCCCACGCCTCGTCCAGCAGGCGGCGGTAAGCGGCCCTGTCCAGTTGCGTGTAGGTGTCCTTGGATGGCAGCACAACATCCGCTGTTGTTGCGTTGTGGTTGCTTGCGCGCCTGGCACTGTCCTTGTGCTTCGTCAACTGCAGATCCCTGAGTCGCACAACGGGCGGTGGCGACTCAACTACGCGCCTGTGCTGCCACAGCCCCGTCTTGGCGTTGAACACGTACTCCGGAAGCAGTTTCCACCCGTGATCAGCAATCATCGTCACTGCATCAATAATGTAGCTTCGCGCATCCGCGTCCAAAAAGTAGGGGAAGTTCAGCCGCGTCCTGTGTGTGTGTGTTGGGGGGGGAAGAAAAAAGGGGAAGTGAGGGAGAGGGAGGGAGAGGGAGCGGCATGCGCACACACATGCACAGCACACAATTGAGCACGCCCGCGCATGCATACGCGCACACACGCACACATGTGTACACACAACTACGCATGCATATGCACACACATGCACGCGCGCGCACACATGCACACACAACACTGCTGCTGACCATCCTGGCTTGATGCCCTCGTAGCCCTTGGCCACCTCCTTTGCAAACGCCTCTGATTCGTGCTGCGTTACGTGGAGCAGGCGGTGCCCATACGGACCCGCACATGAGCACCCTGCAGGTTCACACGAGTCGGGTTGGTTGGTTGATGCAGAGCGCGGCAAACAAGGCGTGGGAGTGAGCACAGTACAGATGTTGTTGTTTGAGGGTATGTGTGTGTGTGTGTGTGGGGAGGGGTTGTTGTTGGATGCAACAGGAGACTATGAATTGCTGTCCACATGTGGCATTAGGAAGACATGACAAACACATACATACAGATGACACATGTAAACATATAACATATTACATACACATGCATACACATGCACACACACACGTGCACACACATGCAAACGACACATACATACACAAATACACGAACATATACACGCAAACACACGCACCTCCACGGGATTGGATGCCAAAGAGGTCGTTGAGCAAGGCCACGACAAAGTTGTGGTGCAGGAACTTGTCGCCTACGCGAATGACAAAGCTGGTGATGGTCAACTTGGGCAGCTGCTGGCGACCCAGGAGAAGAATGTTCTTGTTCTTGCACCAAACCTGCAGCGTTGCATTGGTGCGGGGGAGGGTGGGGGGGGGGGGTTGAACAGACACGTGATTGATGCGATGAGACATGACACGCAACGCACGCACGCGCACGCACAGAGACACGCAAGCATCTGAGCAAACAAAACAAAATACAGACACAGACTAGGCACGCACGCTCACACACCAACAAAAACACATCACGCACGTTGAGGGCGGCGCGAAGGGAGTTCATCTCCAGGGCGTGGATGTTGTGCACGCCAATGTCCATCTTCAGCTTGAAGACGAGCCCGCAGCGGATGGAGCCGACAATGTCTGGTGTGCCGCCCTCCTCGCGCGTCTCAATGTCCGCCTTGTACTTGTGGCGCGTGGGCGACACAAACTCCACCGTGCCACCGCCGGGGTGGACTGGCGATGCGTTGTGAAACAGTTCGCTGCGCGCCACCAGCACGCCAGGCGTGCCCGGCCCACCGACAAACTTGTGCGGGGAGATGAAGACGGCATCAAGGTACGCGTCCTTGTCGGGATAGCGACTCAGCTGCATGTCAATGTCGACGTACGGTGCAGCTGCCGCGTAGTCGAAGAAGGCAAGGGCGCCGTGGCGGTGCAGGGCCATGGCAAGCGCGGGCACATCCGTCAGCACGCCCGTGACGTTGGAGCCGGCAGAGAAGCTGCCAATCTTGAGCGGCCTGTTCTTGTAGCGCTTGAGCATGGTCTCCAGCACGCCAATGTCGATGCGGCCATCGGCGCGGGCGGGGATGGTGATGACGGTGGCCAGCGTTTCGCGCCAGCTCACCTCGTTGCTGTGGTGCTCGTACGGCCCAATGAACACCACGGGCCACTTCTTGTCTGGAATGGACTGCGAGAGGCCGTATTTCTCGAGCACGTCGTGCGGGACGGCCATCTCCAGCACGCCAATCATCTCAGCAATGGCGGCGGTGGACCCGGACCCCGTGAACAGCACCACGTGCTCGCCGCGGATGCCCCCGCACGCCTGGCGCACAATGTCGCGCGCCTCCTCACGGAACTCCGTTGTCTGCAGGCCCGTGGCGGATGCTTCCGTGTGCGTGTTTGCGTACGTCGGCAGCACCACGGTGCGAATAAAGTCCTCGATGAACGACACGGCCCGCCCACTCGCCGTGTAGTCTTGACATGTGTGTGCGTGTGTGTGTGTGTGTGCGTGTGTGTGTGTGTGTGCGAGAGTGAGTGTGTGTGTGAGTGAGTGTGTGGGTGAGCGAGTGTGTGTGTGTGTGTGGGTGAGAGAGAGAGAGAGTGTGTGTGTGTGTGTGGGTGGGTGGGTGAGAGAGTGAGTGTGTGAGCGTGGGCGGGAGCATACCTTAGTGTGTGTGTGTGAGTGTGTGTGTGTGTGTGCGAGAGTGAGTGTGAGTGAGTGAGTGAATGCGTTTTGGGTGGAATCACGATGCAGCGATCGCGAATGCCGCTGGTTGTTACCTGCATAGACGATGGGCTTGCTGCCAAAAGGGCCTGAAAACGATTCAACGAAAAGGATTGAGCACGAGCGCCATTGACAAGGTGAGGGCCAACCAACCAACCAACCAAGCAAGCAAGCAAACAAATACGTACCGTGAGTGAAGGTAGCAACACAAGCGCGCACATACACATACACACACGTGCACATACACATACACACACACACTCATTCAAACCTGAAAGCGATGTTTGGGAACCAATGACGGCTTGGCGGACCCGTGCAACCTTCGCCATGGTCTCAGCGTCCAGCTTCTCGCCCTCGCCATCTTTGGTGCCGTGTGCCACCGCTGCTGCCTCATCGCCCTGCTTCCCTGTTTCCTTCAGCACATGTCGACCGACAACCACGTCATCGGGCAGGGCGGGCTGCTCCAACTCGCAATCGGATCGCGCGGTGATGTGGTGCGCATGATGATGATGATGGTGGTGGTGGTGGTCTTCGGCGTAGCTGCTGTGATCGTGGCTGCCGTTGCCCGTCGTGGTGGAGGAGCTGCCGCCTCCAGCATCTGTTGCGTCTGTCGCGCCTGTTGTGCCACCCATGGTTGTTCTGCTTGCCTGTTCTTGCTCGTTGCTTCGTTGCTTCGTTGCTTCGTTGCTTCGTTGCTTCGGCTTGGGGGAATTGGGTACAAGCAGCAACCAGAACGAGGCTGTCCTCGCTTGGTCAGCCAACCACTCAGGACATTCTCTTGACTGGTTTGTTGCGTCATCGCCTTCTTTGCTGTTGGGGGCGTTTTCGTTCTGGTCGTGAATTGCGCAATGCGGTCTCTGGTTTTGCGCTGCCGCGAACGTTTTGGTGCTGCGACACAACATGCTATCGCGGACTGTGTTGGTGTGTTGTGTCTTTTTGGTCGCTTGGTTGGTTGGTTGGTTGGACATCAGTGCAGCAGAGGAAGACACACACAGGGCAAGCAGATTGACACACAGGCCACACACGAAGACACACTAAGATGCAATGCAGCAAGACATGACATCACAAACACACGCACGCATCACATCACATCACAAACACACACAAACACACACGTCACAAAACGCAGCCATCCCTCTCAAGGGAGATGTGGCTGGGACAAGAACGCGCGCCATTCCACGGGGTTGATGAGCTCTATCTCGTAGAGCAGGATGGCAACGTCGTCCCACTCTGTCGGGCGGTTCTCGTGCATGCCGGCTACCACGTCCCGCACTTCGTCAGGGCTGAGTGCCATGTGCTCCGGCACACCTTCAAAGAACGCCTGCGCACGCTGCAGGTCTGTGGCGGCGGGGTCGAGTGGCGGCATGCTGTCCATGCGGGCGCGATACGCCTTGAGTTGGTGGTCGTGCGGCTCTTCCCCAAAGTACTTGCCGTACGCCGTTAGGCCGTGCTCGTTGCGCCAGAAAGGGTTGTTGCCGAGGTCGATGAGATGGTTCATGACATCGCGGAGGCGAGCAACGCCAGCATAGTGGATGGGAAGGTTGCCGCCGTCCGTGCGAAGGTTCACTTCAGCACCCCGTCTAGCGAGCAGGCTGATGATGCTGATGGCGTCCCCCGTCGTGTTCATGGCAGCATAGTGCATGGCGGTTGCGTCGTTGTTCTTGCGCCTGTTCACGTACTGCGTGATCTGCTCGGGCGTGAAGTTCAGGTGCCGCAGACCGTCCAAGATGAGCTCCACCATGGTCAGCGAATTCTGGCAGGCATAGTGCAGCGGTGTCATCTCAACGGCAGAGACGGTCAGCAGGAGCTGCGGATGGCGCTCCAGGATCACGCGAGCAACCTCAACAAACCCAAAGTTGCACGCATACTGCAAGGGATTGATGCCGCCCGAGAAGGAGGCAATGCGAGGGTCAGCGCCAGCGTCGAGCAGCGCTTTGACAACCTTGACAACCCGATCCTCGGCCCACTCCTCTGGCCACTTCATCAATGCCACGCGAAGTGGCGTGTGGCCCTTCTCCGTCACCGTGTCGACCTCACTCGGATACTCGCGGATCAGGGACAACACAACATTGAGCGGCTGGTTCTCGATGATGGCGTTGGAAATGGGGTTGGGCGGAACTGCCTGTGTGTGAGTGAGTGTGGGTGCGTGTGTGTGGGGGGGGGGGAGAGGGTGCAGATGTGTGAGTTAGTGAGTGAGTGTGTGCGTGTGAGAGTGAGTGAGTGAGTGAGTGAGTGAGTGAGTGAGTGAGTGAGTGAGTGAGTGAGTGAGTGAGTGAGTGAGTGAGTGAAGCGGCGTCAGCAACACCCACCACAGAAGTGAATACGAAAGAAAGGTGTGAGCAAGAGTGGGTCAAGACTTGGGGGTTCAACACACACACACACACACACACACACACACACACACACACACACACACACACACACACACAAACACACACACACACACACAAAAGAGCGCGCACACACACATACGCACAGGTGGTGGATCTCGCCAATTGAAGTCCAAGCGCCGACGGCGACTCATGGTAGCACGGGGAGAGCGAGAGATCTGTTGTTTCATTCATGCGCCATGTCGTGCGGACAGGGCATTGTGCTATTGTGAGTATCGCAGGTCAAGGCGTTTGTGTCGGCTCTGGCTGTACCCCAAGAAGATCGCTGGCATCCCTGCACTTGTTCGTGTGCCACACTCAAGTCATCGAGCCAGTGGGTCACTCACGCCCGCAAACGTCATGCATGGTCTTCTCCAACAGCAGCAACACCAGCAGGAACACACACACACACACACACACACACACACACACACACACACACACACACACACACACAGTCATCCCAATGCACACTCACTGAAAAACAAACAAAGGAAAAGTGATGTTGTGGACAGCGTTTTGGGGTTTTGCGGGGACAAGCTGTGAGCGCGCCATGACACACCACAACACATGGCGGACTCGTGACACATCATGTCACAGACACATCACACGAAAAAGTTGTGTGTCTCAACGCATCGCGCTCTCCCTCATGACATGAGTGTACTGCATTCGTGTGCGCACATCATGCACATGTGTCGTGGGAGATCGTTTATGTGCACGTACTACGCAAAGGAAGATGGACAGGTAAGGAGAATTGACAAGGTGAGGGCAATACATACTGCATGTACACCACACACACACACACACATGGATTCATCGTGTCACATACGGCAAGGTCGCTTACAACAACACGCACAAGCGTTCGCATACGTCATGAAAACAAAGAGTCGTTGCGTTCACAGGAAACATGCGCACACTCACACGCACGCACGTACAGGCAACAAGGGAACAGGCTACACGAACGATACACGAATATCGCTCTTCAGCAAGGCGTCCTTGCTGTGCGTTGGATAGCTCAGGTGCTGCCTGTGTCGCTGGTGCTGTTGTGGTTGTGGGTGTTGATATTGGTGTTGTGGGTGCCGTCGTTGTTGTTCGTCCTGGTGTGGTTGCGGTTGCGGTTGGTCTACATCCATGCCGCCACGTGCACCCCCAACGTCGCTTCGCCCAGCGTCGTTCGTGTTGTCGCTGCTGGCGTTCGACAGCTGTGGAAGCGAGCAGCCATTCGGTACAGCCACAGTCGCTGCTGTGTTCGCCTTGTGGCCCCGTCGCTGTGGTGGGCGCTGCAGCAACACCCGCCCTCCACACATCACCGCCCCATGCTGCTGCTGCTGCTGCTGTTGGCCTTGTTCCTCTGTGTTGTCTCTCAAGAGTAGATGAGCACCAGCCTCAACCATGCCATTCACACCGCCATCACCATCCGCATCATCAACAACACCAGTGCATATGACGTCACAACA